AACCGGCCCGGCCCGGTTACTGTGTGAACCGGTGCATACCATCGGCGGTTCGGGTCGAACCGGCCCGGTGGATACCGGTTCCGGGCCCGGGCCCTCCATTTGGTGAACCGGCCCGGCCGGTTCGGGCCCGGTCTGGGCCGGATTTTAATTTTTTTTTTTTTAAATTTTTTTAAGTTTTGGGTTGGATTAGGTATTTTGGGCCATTTGAGGTGGTTTGGGGTGGTTTGGGGTTGAGGGGGAGGGGTAGGCGGTTAAAAAGGAGAACCAAAAAAAAAAAAAATAATAGACCGGTTGGCCCGGCCCGGCCCGGCCCGGCCCGGTTTGGCCCGGAACCGGAACTGGAACCGCCCACCGGCTGTTCGGGCCCGGGCCCTAGTTTTCTGGCCCGAGGCCCGGCCGGGCCCAGGCCCGAACCGGGCCCGAACCGGCCCGAGTCCACCCCTAGAACCGGGTTAAAGCTCAAATGAAAAATGATCACCCCATCCTTTTTAGTTTTAAAACCTAGTTTCAAATAAAATAAAAGTACAAGTAACGAACAATGACACTAGTATCGCGTTTAATTTACACATAAATAAGTAATAGAGATTTTTCTAAACATATAACTAAATAAATTTATAAAAATATAGCTAAAATTCCTACTGCTATAAGAGTATAAATTATGAGTATTTTTTCATGGCCACTATGATATACAAATTGGGCATTGTTTTAACCGCTAAAAGTTACTACGGTATTAAATACGGAGTAATATTTAGTCATATATTAGGATTTTTAAATAATATTGGTATATTATACTCCGTACTAATTTTGTATTAAAGATAACTGTTTCGAGTTTTTTTTATAATATAGGGGTGGACTCGGGCCGGTTCGGGCCCGGTTCGGGCCTGGGCCCGGCCGGGCCTCGGCCAGAAAACTAGGGCCCGGGCCCGAACCGCCGGTGGGCGGTTCCGGTTCTGGGCCAAACCGGGCCGGGCCAACCGGTCTATTATTATTATTATTTTTTTGGTTCTCCTTTTTAACCCCCTACCCCCTCCCCCTCAACCCCAAACCACCCCAAACCACCTCAAATGGCCCAAAATACCTAATCCAACCCAAAACTTAAAAAAATTTCAAAAAAAAAAAATAAAAAAAATAAAATCCGGCCCGGACCGGGCCCGAACCGGCCGGGCCGGTTCACCAAATGGAGGGCCCGGGCCCGGAACCGGTATCCACCGGGCCGGTTCGACCCGAACCGCCGATGGACCGGGCCACCGGGCCGGGCCGGTTCACACAGTAACCGGGCCGGGCCGGTTCCGGTTCGGGCCGCCCGGCCCGAGTCCAGCACTAATTATACTCTGTACTAATTTTATATTAAAGATAATTGTTTCAAGTTTTGACCGGTTCGGCTGATTTATATAATTTAGGGATAGTTAGTGAGCCCGACTTTTGGACTTTGTTCGGGTATTTTTATTCAGATCATCTAAAAAGAAAAAAATTCGGATTGGTAACGTACGTATTTCGGGGCAACGGTCAATTTCTGGGTTTCTACAGTCAATTTCTAGGATTGTGTTTAGTTTTTCTCACCTCTAGATTGGATAGTTGGGAGCTCAAAAGTCAAAACTAGTCCTACAAAGTTGGGATCTCCTAGTACGTACTAACAAAATACACAACCTTAGATCCTCAACATTAGTGACCTAATTTAAAGGTTTAATTTTAAGGGATTTATTCACACGTAAATTTAAAAGTGAAAATGACCAATATGCAAATTAAATGCAACTCAATTTGAGATGAAGGAAATATAAATTACAATTAATATAAAAACTTTTAAAAACAGAAAAGTGTAAATAAATGTTAAAAATAAAAATAAAAACCTGAAATTCAGTTTTTCAAAAATGAAAACCTGAAATTCTTTTGTAAACAATGTAAAATATAAACGAAAGGAAGGGAAAGTTTATAAATTGAAAAAGATATAAAAGCATATATATTATATGTGTTCATATAATAGAGAAGTTTTGGAATTATATAAAAAATGTCAAAAGTATTAGAAATAGTCAAAATACTAAGAAAATAAAAAACTGAAAAATACAAAGTCGCGTGAATATAAAAATAAAAAGTGAAAAGAAAAGAAACATACAACGTGTTTTTTTTGGAAAAAGATAACTTACTTATTATTAATAAGGGCAACAAGAAAGAAAGCCATCAAACTAGAGACTACTATGAGGTGAGACATAAAACTAAAAAGTTGCTCATTAGCGATCCATTTCACTAACCTTTAATGATGTAGACTCTATCAACATCATAAGTGCACTTGCTATTTAAGAGAGAATCAAAAGTAACTAAACTGTCTTGAGAACAAAAGAAAAGACAAAGAGAAAAGACCCGGTTTTTCCAGCCTCCGGAAAGGAATTTGTTGTTTTTCCAGCCCCGCCAAAGGTACTAGGGTGTACCCTTCTCCACCCCGACTATCCACTTCTTCCACATAAACCTCCATTACTGAACCTGGAAAGCACCGCCACCTTCATGTTTTTTGGATCCTCACCATCCACTTCCATTCCTGCTTAGGGTTGTAAACGAACCGAATCGAGTCGAATAGTAACATTTTGTATTTGTATTTGTTTGATTTTGTCGAATACGAATACGGATTCAAATATGAAACAAATATTGATTTTGATTTGTATTTGTATTTGTTTAACAATACGAATAGTTAACGAATCATATACGAATATCAAATTGATTTAAGCATATGTTAAGTATTAGTCAAATATCACTTTAAAATAACTTTTCTTATATTTTTTATGTTCTAAATGCACGCTATGACTTAATATGTGTTTTTAGAATTTAAATTTAATGAATCAATGTATTTTTAGAGTGTGCACAATATAATGATTAGTAAATATAAATCTATTTCAAACTTTTTGAAATACACACTAACACATACGATAGTATATATTAAAAATTATACTTATAATATGTGAAATAAGTTGATAATTGTATATATTAAAGTCAAACGACTCTAATTTTATTCTTCAAATCAAATACATAATTATTTGGATTGTATTTGAAAGACATTTGAACCAAAAAATTGATTTGTATTTGTATTTGTATTTATATTCTGATTTATTTCAAATATGCATAAATATATATGATCTATACTTTGTGAGTATTGCTATCTTTTAAAAGTTATTATAGTGTTACTACTACTATTATTAATATTATTATTAAGATTACCACTATTATTAATCGAATATCTTTGATTAATATTCGAATCGAATATACTGATATTGTTATTTGTATTTGATAACAACTCGAATCAAATTTAATATTCTTATTTGTATTTGTATTTGATTTTTCCGAATTCAAATTGTCCTATACGAATTCGAATCACGAATCGAGCACAAATTATTTGATTCGTTTACAACCCTATTAAATCCTGCTTGGATGTCTTCTCCCTTTGTCAGTCTATCACTCTATGCTTTCTTGGTTCATCTTCTTGACCTTCAACTTTTGCCTTGTCCCTGTAGAAAAGACCTTCAACCATATAACTCCCTGCATCTTTCAAGATAACCTTGTGCGAAATGTTCAACTTGTCTGGATCCTCTTGTTTTGTGCTTGTTCTGCTTCCACTTGGGATCAATCACCTATTCCCTGGATGGCTGGATGGATACCCCTCTTCTCATATCTGCATGTAGCCAGACCCATACAACTTCTCTCCAATCAAAGGTCCAAAGCGAGTGCTCGAAGGACAAAATCAGTCTATGTCATAGGATCCCACATAAAAGGCAAAAATTTCGAAGCCTCTCATACCTAAAATCTGCCCATATCTAATTATAATCTTCCTACCTCACCCACAATCTTCTAATCAAGCATTTTTATATTTATGATTACCCTTATTCCTAGTATTGACCGCCACTTCCCTGAGTGTGCACTCATCAATCTTGACTAGAGACCCTATATTATTTCCAATACTATGTGTAGCTTTTATCATCATGTAACCCAGAGGAAAATTGCGAACTTAGCACCCAAAATTCAACATGATCCAGAGACACCTCGAGAGGCATGTCTGTCTGTCGTAGTCCTGGCCCAACCCAACTGTAAAAATGTCTATATTTTTAGTGTAAAAATTATGTGTAAAATATTTTTCAAAAATATTCTTTATATCGGCCTAGTGACCTGGCTACAATCAAGGTTTTAAATAGCGGCCCACTACCGCTACGGCCCAATTCCGCTGTGAATTCTAAATCGCGGGAAAAACCCGCTACGCCGCCCGCTACGCCGCCCGCTACAGTCCGCTATTGACATTTCCGGCAGTACGTCATGATCGAGTTGATGTGTAAATGTGTCTATGTTGTGTAAATGAACTCTTAATGTTATAAGTGTTCAAACAAATATTTACACTGTTTGTATTAACTTCAACACTCATTAAATATATGTTTTGCGCAATTGAAAATATTTCACGCCGCTGCAATCGCTACAGTCGGCTACAGGCCGCTACAGGCTGCTACCGCGATGACCGCTACTGCTACACTCATTAAATAACCACTGTTCCACAATGCAAGAACGGTAACTTCCACTTCTCAATATACTCCCTCAATTCTTAACCATGTTAATTAAGCAAACAAGTACATATGATTTATAATTAGAAATTTAGAACCCCAAATTTATTTTCACCTATTGCTTTTCTTTTTCACCCGTTATCGCTCCTAAGTCATAACACCAAGGTTAACACTTAACAACCTACAGGCAAACATAGCTTGATAGCTACCATTCCTACCAAGGCCAAGCGGATTGAACTAAACAGTAATTATACTAAACTTAAATACCGTCAAGTGGACTAATTTTTTTAAAGGCGGCTTATATTGATAAAAGAACATTCAACAAGGAATACCAGAGATAAAGAAACCACTCCCAGCCATCAACCCTCGAACAGTCGGAGAACCTATCACCCTAGACAGAACAATATGATTCACTGATCTTATAACGGATCTACATGAGCCTAGCATGGCCAAAACAAAATCCTCATCATCCCCACCTAATGTAAGAGTTCAAAAGCAAAAAACAACGGAAAAGGAACAACCATGTTCTTGGTAAACAACAACCAAATAAAATAAATAAAAACGTGTAATTTATGCCTGAACTTGATCACCACGAGCAAGATCCAGCATCCTTCCTTATAATTCCTCCATGGCGGCGGTTCAGGAGGGGGACACATCTACTTCCCTTCGTCTTCTTTCGCCCGTATGCGATTACTGCCATTGGCCCTGAATTTTTCCGATCCCGAATCTCCCCCCTGCAATTCCAGCTTATGATGATCATCCTTCCTTGAGAACAATGGAGTCACAGTCCAATTGAGCCGCACCGCGCTGCTGCCCGATTGCCCTAGCCCCGACCAAGTCGGATCCGCCGCCGCTATCACTGGATCTCAATCGAAGCCGCATCACCGAATTAAATCCAGGTCTCACCCTTCACCTCCTCTCCAAATCCGGAAATAGAAGAGAGCCAGATATGTCACCGATTGAAACAAAGACGATACGCACCAAGACATGAAACCTCCGGACAGAAATGGCCGTACCGCCACCGCCGGTAGACACTAACTAGGCAAAAACCTAGAGTCGTCCGCAGGGAAGAGAAGTCGCGAGTGGACTAAATATGAAAAGTGTAAAAATTTACACCCACATAATTGAAAAAGAAATCATCCGTTTGTGACAGTGAATTACACCCAACATAATCATGGTGATTCGAACCCTGGAGCAGACTTTGATTTACGGTGCATAGTTCAAACAGTTCAACCATTTCAGCTAATAAACAAAAACTAATAGGGGTGTATTTTAAAATTTTGACAAGATAATTCAACTATCACCACCTCAAGAAAATTAATTAGATATGGACATATTTTAGGTATGAGAGGCTCGTCAAAATACGCAGTAAAACCCTTTCTCCATATTTCTACATTCAAAGCCGGTGCCTCCAATATAAACTATCCGGCCGCCTATACTATTAACTTTTCTCGGCGGAAAAAAACTTACTGCTAAAGTTTGATCCCAATTTGGGCAAATAGAGAAACTACAATTTCATACCGGCCTAGACAATTAGACATACGGAGTATTGATTTGGTTTAATCAGTGCCAAACCCAATTAAACCAAATTGAAACCGGATCATATGAAATTTGATTTGAGTTTGATAGTATTTCTTCCAAACCGAATTAAAACGGATAAAAATTGTACAAAATCAAGCCGAACTAAAGAAATTTAATAAAACCTTCATATATTTATTAAAAATAACAAATCCAAACTGAACTAAACCGAATCGAATCAAACCGAAAAATAGAATGATTTTTGTTTGGTAATAGTTCTTCTGACCCGTTTTAAATCGAATCGAATCTGATAAAAACCGAACTGAAAACCGATATATACGCCCTACTACAGAAAACCAGAACAATAGAATGATTATATTAGACACTACTTGAATATTTGGGAAATTTGTGATACAATCAATAAATTTGATTTTCCTAATTTTAAGTGATACAAAACTCCATGCCAAGAAAGGTACGCAATGTCACCTCTCATCTCGATTGAGCTTTGCCATTATTTTTGGTTAGGGTTTTGATTTCGGATACCCTTTTCTATTCACTTAACTAACTTAACTAAATTATTGAGTATTTGTTGTATTTTTTTAATACATTTTGCGGTTTGTGATGTGCAAGGATGGGTAAGCTTTGCAAATTGAAGGGGAAACAAACCTGGGATTTAAAACTACAAATTGCATTTGCATGAGTTTTGCTTTGATTCAGTAAAATCAACTCAGTACGGTTATGTTACATGCACTTTCGATTTCGATTTATTTTTGCCTGGATTAATGTAATAATAATATCAATGGTTCAGGGCTTCAGGTATTTCGTTATTGATCCATGTTTTTTTTACCAACATGTATTCCTGGCAGAACTACTTTAAGTAGCCATTGTTGTCCAGAACTGCAGCCTTTTCCCCTCACAATGACCCAGTTGATAACATACCCATTCCATTTTTATTGCATAGTTGAAAAGGGGTCAGTAGCTATCCATTGATACCATATTGCCATTGTAGGTATCCATTTACCCTTTCCTGTGATGTTAATTGAAACATGCACTTCAATATTTATGATCTTCTTACTGTTTTTTCCTTTCATTTCATTACCTCCATCTTCTATGGCTCTACAGGAATTACCTTTCTAGTAATGCATCACGCTATGAAGTATCACAGAGACCCAATCATAAAGAAATTCTATCAAAAAGAAAAAAAATGAAAACCCAAGACCATAACTAATAGGGAAACAGTCCGCAAATAGGAATTCAGGGTTTCTGAGTTACCAAATTGGTAGATATGAGCTCTGAGAAGAAGTTTCCATGCTACTTAGCAGCAAAGTTTCATAAATGCAAAGTTTGTCTACCTACATACTGTAGAATCAGAGGTTTTGAGTTACCCAGGCAGAGCTGCCGGAAATAATCCTGCCTTTCCACCCCTGCAGCACCCAATGACCATCTTCACCAAACTGAAAGTCTTTGTGATATGCTTCCTGTGCCTTGTCTTTTAACTTCTTCAAAAGTTTAGGGTTCAGGGGCACAGGCTTGAATCCAGCCCTCATAGTGCGACTTTGCCACTGCTTGTATGTTTCAGGCCTCTCTAACCTTTCCTTTCCCTCGCATGCTACAATATTTGCTATTGAAGACCCCATAAATGCTTGTTCGAAGTTCAACCTTTGACTATCATTGCTTGGGAAAATAGCTTCAAGCATATCAAAGATAGCAGTGTAGAAGAAGAGAGCCTCTCGGAACCGATTGAGAAAGAAAGGAGAGTTGTGAGATGCACTAAGCACAGAATGCACAAAAATATGAGGGTTTACTTCCTGGATGAAGTTTAAAACAATGTCCCTGGGGCTGTCTGCACCACATACGGTCTCGTCTAGTAGGATTTTTAGTCGAGCAGTACAGTTAACAGCAACCACCTCACCCTTCGTGAGCTTCAAGTCATCAATCTTAATTGCCTCCCACCTCTTTGCTGTTATGGGGTTGTATTCAAATGGTACTCCAAAACGCTCACAATATTTAGCCAAACGACAACCAGTGTCCGCTATCATTTGGGATGGACGAAAACCAGGTTGGGGAAGCTCAATCCCAGTTATTCGGAGTTTTGGAGGGCCACCGGGTCTTTGTGAAAGATCTCGAATAAGAGTGGGCCATTGGATGCCATGCAGAATACCAAAATCTATAACGTGCAGTGATGCTCCTCTTGACGCTACTTTGTAAATCATTTTATTTGCAAAGAATATTAATATCCTCATAAATGGCAAGGATGATGACAAATGGGATTTTTGCATTTCGGAAATTAGGATCTTATTTTGATACAATGATGAAGGATAAAGTTGTGCCCCAGTTCCAGCTATCCGGGCCTCAAGACCATCAGCAAATGCATGTGCCACCCGTTGGTTTGCATCACCTACAGGTGAAGAGTGCTGCCTGACCCTCTTTAGTTGCTCTAATGCAGCCCCGTAATCACCAGCAGCAACAGATTTTGCGCAACTAATCAAAAGAGACTGGAGATCAACAATTTCATTACCATTTCCTCGTTTATTTGAACGAATCTTGCGACCATTTCGCTCTTTCTGTCGTTGTTTGCAAGCTCCAGATGGACCATTGGCATTATCATCAGTACACATCAAAACCTTATCAAACATCTCTGATAAATCCTCCTCCTCCTTATAAGCTGCACTCTGCTTGCTGCTCCTTTCCTGCTCTTCTAACCCACATTCACCTGGACGGTAATGCTTCCTTCCTCTACACGAATCAGCTGAATGGTCCTCCTCTATACTCACAAAACCACCTTTGGTCAATGAGTATATATCATCGAAATGAATTAGCTTCGGATTAATGGCAGGAAAGAATGTTTCAGCTTCCCCTACACCTCTCTGGAAAATGCAAAATGGACGCAGTTTGATCATAAAAAAATATATTCGGAACCAAATCAGCTTAACCAAAGCTATATAAAGAACTGTTTAACCCATGCAAGTTAGTGATGAAGATAACAGGATGGCGAGATCAGACATATCACTTGTTACAGATGATTTAGAGTGTCTGGGATCGGAGTAATAGAGATAAATGCGATCAACATCAGAACTGAGATGTCTGGGCTTGAATGGGTAAACCAGTAAACAAGAGCAGCCATCATAATAAACTTCAGAGAAAATTATCCCTATTGTCTACTTCTGCATATTGTTTCGTTTGTCATTACGTGCCTCCTCTTTAAACATTGTAAAGTTAAAAAAGGATTTTTGATTAAAAACCACACACTTGGCGGAAGGTGAAATAAGGGCATAATGTGTTTGTTAAGGCTAAGTTTGATGCTTTAGGCCAAAAAAGTATTACCTTTGAATGACAGTCAAGGAACTCAAAAGGAATCATTGGAGCTTTCAAAGCTGATTCTGAGTTCACCAGAGGAATTTGATGTTTTTCTAAAGCAAAGCTGCGTAGGAGATTCAAAACGCGAATATGATTAGATTAATACATTATGGGAAACCAATTGAACTCCAAATCACTATAATCAAAATAAAAGTTTTGGAGTAAAGCAAAAGAACAATCAGTGAATGCACTATGAGTTCTACTGTACATCCCAATCAAACAGTTGCTCTGCACCATTTTCCAATCACAGAAGTGAGTGCGTACCTTGGAGTAAAATTTGGGATGTGTTTTTTTCAGAAGAAATCAGATAGTAAATAGAAGCAAAAGAAACGCAGTTAGTATATGAAATTTTAGGAATAAAAAACTCTGGAATTATTGGCAGTTCATTGTGGGCGTCTGAAGCTAGAGAGACATGAGGAGTCCCACTACCTTATCCCATGTATTAATGAAGTGGAACACTCTGTAAGTCTGTAATGGCAGTCAACCAAAAGAAATTAATTGGACGTAACTACGCAAGGTTCATATTTATTTTATGAGTTTTATGTCATGTATAATTTGTGGATAGTATTTTAGAAATGGCTTACACAATATATGAAAGTAAAGTATTTTTTACATAAGTTGTTAGTACTTTAGTAGAAATTCTTATTGAGATTAATTACTATTAAGATTATTTACCTCATATGATTTACGTACCATGTGGGATGTTTCCTTATTAATAAGTATGTATACATGGGTACATGTGATGGATGGCCCATGCATTATTCTCTCCTATCATTCACACCACCTATTGTAATATCTATATATGTAGCATGCATGCCATGGAAGATACATGTTACGTATCATTCCTTTTACATGAAGTCTAGCTCTCCAAATATTAGCTCTTATTTTTTTCCATTAGTTTATGTCAATTTTAACATGGTATCAGAGCCAAAACCTGGAAATCACAATACTAGTTATTTTTGAGATATTTCATTTTATCTTCTCCTCATATCAACGTGATGAGAATGTCGCATAACACCCGTACGTGGATAATTGATTCTGGAGCAAGTGAGCATATCACTTGTGATAGTGCAAATCTTTTCAACATTTCTACTCGACCTTCCGAACCAGGAGTACGAATTCCTAATGGGGAATTAGTTCCAGTTTCTTCCATTGGTAGCCTATACCTGTCTAATGGACTTTATCTTCGTCGTGTTCTTTATGTTCCGCAGTTTCAATTCAACCTACTCTCCGTCAGTCGCCTCACAAGTGATCTGAATTGCACACTCACATTTTTCTCAGACTTCTATATATTACAAGATTTATCCTCCCGAAAATTAATTGGTAAGGGTGAATTTCATGACGGACTTTATTACCTGGAATTGCCAAGGGATCAAAAGGTAGCAATGGGAGCTACTCTTGATTCTAATTTATGGCACCGGCGTTTGGGACATGCCTCAAATGGGAAATTGCAACACATTTCATTTCTCAAAGGTTTGCAACAAAGCAATAGCTTTTGTGATCCCTGCTTACGAGCTAAACAAACTCGATTACCATTCTCCAAAAGTACAAGTAAGACTACTTGTTGTTTTGAATTAATTCACTGTGATATATGGGGAGGTTATAGGTGCGACTTTACTTCAGGAGCACGTTATTTCTTGTCTATAGTTGATGATTTTTCTAGAGGCGTTTGGGTTTATCTCATGAAAAATAAGTCTGAAGTTTGCCAAAAATTGATACAGTTCTGCAATCTTGTAGAAACTCAATTTGAGAAACGAGTTAAACGGATACGTTCAGATAACGGATTGGAATTCAAAACCATTTTTTTATCTGAATATTATGCTCGTTGTGGAATTGTTTTGGAAACATCGTGCACAGACACCCCCCAACAAAATGGGGTTGTGGAGCGTAAGCATAGACATATATTGGAGGTTGCCAGGGCACTCCGTTTTCAATCAGGATTACCGATTGATTTTTGGGGGGAATGTATTCTTACTGCCGTTTATATTATCAATCGGCTACCGTCGCCCATTATTTTAAACAAAAGTCCTTATGAGATGTTGTTTGGGAAGGAACCGTCTTATGAACATCTCCGCATTTTTGGGTGCTTGGTGTATGCGCATAACAACAAAAGGAAAGACAAATTTAGTGAAAGAGGGAGTCCTTGCATATTTCTTGGGTATCCCTACGGTCAAAAGGCATATAAAGTGTTTGATTTGCAAAAACAGAACATTTACACCTCTAGAGATGTAACCTTTATTGAGAGTGAATTCCCTTTTAAAATGATAAATCAAGAAGGGCATGATTTTGGGGATATTATTGACCGTGTATATCAAAGTGTTGTGGGCCATGGAAATGCATCCAACGTTGAAACTCATCACCAATTAGAAGTTCACCATCCGAAAACTTCAATAAGTGTGGAGCCAGAAAACACATGCTGCTATCCTCACACAGAGGAGTACATACGTGGACCCCAGCAATATTCAGGAGCCCCCCCTCCTTCACGTAATTACAGTGTTCCAGTATGCAGGGCACCAAGCCAAGTCGGCCAACCTGGAACGGGAAGCGGCACCTGCAGGAACGATGCTGGCGCAGATGGCGGGACAGCTCCTTGCCAGGTCTCACCCACTCGGCATCAACCTCCTTCAAACATGTACCAACCTTCGGACAATGCTGGTCTGGGAAGCCGTACGCATACAGCAGGTGAAGACACTGATGGTGGGCCAGCCTTCCGTCCATCCTTACCAGATGGACAAGAACTCTCTCATACATCTACTTGCCAACCAAATTTATCTTTAGACGGTGACCAAAATCTGGAACCACGTGAAATGTGTACTGAATCTTCATCCACCGGTGAAATTAGAAGGGGCACGAGGGCTCGCCGACCTCCTAAACACCTCTCTGAGTATGATGTTGATTTGCCGTCCTGTTTGGACATTCCAAAGTCAACCTCAAATCAAAGTGACACAGTATTACATCCAATTTCTAATTTTATTAGTTACGAAAGGGTTTTCTAATAAACATAAAGCTTTTTTGACAGCTATCACTTCACGTGATGAACCAAAACAATTTTCACAGGCTATTTTAGACCCTATGTGGCAGGAGGCCATGCAAAGGGAGATCCGTGCCTTAGAAGAAAATGGTACTGGACGTTGGTGCCGTTGCCGCCGGGAAAGAAACTAGTAGACTCTAAATGGGTCTATAAAATAAAATATAAACCTAATGGTGATGTGGAACGATACAAGGCAAGACTAGTAGCCAAAGGCTTCACACAAGTCGAAGGAATTGACTTTCATGAGACATTTGCCCCAGTTGCCAAGCTCGTCACAGTACGTTGTCTGTTGGCCGTTGCAGCAAAACGAAATTGGGAAGTACATCAATTAGATGTCAACAATGCTTTTCTCCATGGAGACCTTTCCGAAGATGTTTACATGCGTGTTCCTCAAGGATTTACTAAGGATGGTGACTCTCGTGTTTGCAAATTACAAAAATCTCTTTATGGCTTGCGCCAAGCATCACGAAATTGGTACCATAAGTTTACTCAGTCACTCCTAAACATCGGATTCCGTCAATCACGGGCAGATCATTCCTTATTCATTTTTGAGCAGGGTAAGAATCACACTTTTGCTCTCATTTATGTTGATGACATCATCCTAGCAAGAAATGATACAGCTCATATCAGCCGAATCAAAGGGTACTTGGATAACCAATTCAGTATCAAAGACTTGGGTACACTGAAGTATTTCCTAGGAATTGAGGTTGCTCGTTCTCCCGAAGGATTTGTGTTAAGTCAACGCAAATATACACTTGATATCCTAGAAGAAAGCGGTCTCCTAGCCGCCCGACCCAGTCAATTTCCAATGGAACAAAATTTGAAACTACGACCAAATGATGATAGCCCGCATGTAAATGCATCCTCATATCGCCGCTTGATCGGTCGCTTGTTGTACCTTACAGTCACTCGCCCCGACATTGTCTTCTCTGTTAGCCAGCTTAGTCAATTTCTCAGCCAGCCACGCCAGTCTCATTTTGATGCCGCCATACGAGTTCTTCGCTACTTAAAACAAACTCCGGGACAAGGGATTTTCTTATCTGCGAATAATGATTTCGGTTTAAAAGGTTATTGTGATGCTGACTGGGCAGGATGCTCCTACACTCGTCGGTCTAGCACTGGATATTTTATCACTCTCGGCGATTCCCCGGTCTCTTGGAGGACTAAGAAACAATCTGTTGTTTCACGTTCTTCGGCAGAAGCAGAATACCGCGCCATGGCCGTCACAGTTAGTGAAATTTTATGGCTACGATGGTTACTTCGAGATCTAACTATTCCTCAAACAGGTCCTACACCCCTCTTCTGTGATAATCAAGCAGTTCGACACATCGCACTCAACCCTGTTTTTCATGAGCGTACCAAGCATGTAGAAATGGACTGTTTTTTTGTTCGTGAACGTGTTACTAGTGGAGAAATCCAACCATGTTGTATCACTACAACACATCAGATTGCTGATATTTTTACTAAGGCGCTTGGCACTGATCGTTTTCAGTTTCTCAGGAGCAAGTTGGGTGTTCGCAACCTTCACACGCCACCTTGAGGGGGAGTATTGAGATTAATTACTATTAAGATTATTTACCTCATATGATTTACGTACCATGTGGGATGTTTCCTTATTAATAAGTATGTATACATGGGTACATGTGATGGATGGCCCATGCATTATTCTCTCCTATCATTCACACCACCTATTGTAATATCTATATATGTAGCATGCATGCCATGGAAGATACATGTTACGTATCATTCCTTTTACATGAAGTCTAGCTCTCCAAATATTAGCTTTTTTTTTTTTTTAACAATTTATGTCAATTTTAACAATTCTATATGTTAATGGTATATTTCGATACCTTTTTGGTTGGTGGACTCAAATGTTATAGCTATGTCTAGTCCTCGACTCGGGCCGGGTGGCCCGACCCGTAACCGGCCCAGGACCGGCACTGTGCTGAATCGGCCCGGCCCAGTGGTCCGGCCAGTGACCGGACTGGGTAGGCCTGGCTCGGGGGGTTCCCGGTGCGGGCTCGGGTCACCCAAAACCCGAACCGGCCGAGCCGGTTCCGGGCTTTTTATTTTTTTTTTCAATTTTTTTTTTAACTTTTCGGGTTGGACTGGGTATTTTGGGCCATTTGGGGTGGTTTGGGGGTGAGGGGGGTTAATTAAGAAAAGCAAAAAAAATAATAAAAAAAATTGACCCGAAGCCCGGCCCGGACCCGATGGCTACCCGGCCCGGTCCCGGGCCCACCTATTCAGAACCGGCGGCCCGCCTGGGCCTAGGCCCGGCCCGGACCCAACCCGAGTCCAGGACTAGCTATGTCAGGTTTATAACTGAGATAATTTCTATATGTGTCCCTTTGAAGTTTTGTATTTAGGCTATGTTTGACCATATGAGTTGTAGTTAAAGATTAATATCTAAAGTAAGGGCTATTGTTTGAATTATCGACTCTTGTCTTGTGTGGAATTTTAAAATACTGAATCTGAGTTGTTGGTTAAATACTGAATTTTATAGACCC